TTGACCCCACGCAGGGCCCTAGGTGAGCACTGGGCCCCACGGTGGCACATCAGCGCTGAGAGGTAGACGTCCCGTGCCCGGATCACAGATTTTGACACTGGGACTTGGAAATGGCAAGGTCACACAGGCAGTAAGTAAAGTCTAGGTTAGGCCTCGGGTCTGCCTGACTCGAGCTCAAGGTGTCACAGCCAAAGCACACACAGCAGCTGCCCTGGCCACTGGCCCAGGCTAGGAGGAGCCTCTGAAGGCCAAAAGAATGGACCTGTGTCCCCAGCGTCTGACCACCGGCTCGGGATGAACCCATCCACCCTGGGCAGCTTGCCTGCCCTGAGGATGGAGGACAGGGCTGGCTAGACCTCGGCCGCCTCCACACTCCCTGAGGCTGGGCAGGACCCACGGGCAAGCAGGAAGCAGAAAAGAGCGCGAGCACAGAGCTGCAGGGCTGCGGGCAGGATCCCAGGGGCAGTGGGAGCGTGGAAGGACACACCAAGAGGCCAAGAACCGAGTGCGACAGCTTTGTCCCCTCGGGAGCCTTGGGTGGCCACGGCACCCTCACGGCGTCTCTCTCTTCTCACAAGAGGAACCAAAAGGCTGAGCATGTAGCGACCACCCAGAAACATTTGCCAGTGGGCTCTTCTGGTTTTTTTTTTTTTTTAAGATTTTTTTATTTTGATTTGAAAGATAGAATAACAGAGAGACAGAGACAAAGACAAAGAGAGAGCCTCCATCCCCTGGTTCACTCTCCCAAATGGCCACAACAACCTGGGACTGAACCAGGCTGAAGCAAGGGATCAGGAGCTTCATCCGGGTCTCCCATGAGGGTGGCAGGGGCTCAAGCACTCAGGCTCTCTTCCACTGCCTTTCCAGGCACACTAGCAGGGAGCTGGATGAGAAGTGGAGCAGTCAGGACACTAACTGGCGCCCATATGCAGGATGCCAGCATCTCAGGTGGTGGCTTAACCCGTTACGTCACAACGCCAGCCCCTAATTGGCTCTTCTTAACCAAGGCACAGAGTGGAGGCGGCAGCAGCCTTCGACAGGCATCTCCATGGCCATAAGGAATGATCCTGGAATACGGTCTCATCCAGTCCTTGGGCAAAGGACTTTGGGGCTTTTTTGATGACAGAAAGTCAACCTTGAGGAGGGGCTGCCGTCCACCCTGATGGGGTGGGGCCCTTGTGGAGACCCAAGGCCCCAGATGAGGACAGCGGCAGTCCCGTCTGACCCTGCAGGCGATCCTCCCTGCAGAACTGGGCTCCTAGCCTAAGAAATCTACACAGAGGAGGGTGACCAGGATGGGGACAGACTTCAAATCATGTCAGAGGACAGAGATTCAAGGAAACAGGCTTATGGAGCCTGCAGAAAATTCACAAGGACAAACTCTCCAATACTGAAAGAGCTGCAAGGGAATGGACTCGACCCTTTGCCTCATAAAGGATAAAATTTCAGCTGTAGATGCAAGACAGTTTGGATGGGGCCGGCGCTGTGGTGTAGTAGGTTAAGCTGCCGCCTGCAGTGCTGGCATACCATATGGGCACCAGTTCAAGTCCCGGCTGCTCCTCTACCAATCCAACTCTCTGCTATGGCCTGGGAAAGCAGTAGAAGATGGCCCAACTCCTTGGGTCCCTCTACCTACATAGGAGACCCAGAAGAAGCTCCTGGCTCCTGGCTTCGGATTGGCCCAGCTCTGGCTGTTGAAGTCATTTTGGGAATGAACCAGTGGATGGAAGACCTTTCTCTCTGTCTCTCCCTCTCTCTGTCTGTAACTCTGCCTCTCAGATAAAAAAAATAAATCTGAAAAAAGACAGACAGACGGGTTGGGCCCCACACAAGGATTCAGAAGTTAGGGCTGACAACTGTGTCACCCAGCAGTGCTTCCTGTCACTTCCCACATTGTGGTTCACAGAGAGCACACCCTGAGGAAAAGGAACCCACAGGGCGCCCCCAGCCGTGGGGTTCTGGGCTCCCAACTTGGCAGCCTGATGAATTCACAAAACATGCCCACTGACAGCACCCTGGAGAAGCTCTGGTGTAGACAGAAGTGAGCTTCCTGCTGCTGTGGCTATGCAAAGACTAGGCAAGGGCACTGCAGAAATGTCCAAGTATTAGAAAGCAAGCTTGTCCCCTTCATCGTAGGGTTCCAAGATTCTAAGCCACCAGGGAAGACAAGAGGAGGAGGGCACAGCTACTCCATGCACAGGGTGTGCCCAGGGCAGGATCCAGTAGTGTCTTCCCTCTGTTCCCCAACAGCAGGCACCTTCCACGTGGGCCGCCCTTCACCGGGACCTGGGACCTCCAGGTATGTCTGTCCCACTAGTTGCACCTGCATGAGGTCAGCCCTACAGATGGACTAGTGAAAGTCACCCACATTGAGCTCCAAGGAGCCAAGGAAAGGCAGGTGGTCCCAGTAATTATCCCCCTACTGACCCTCATGCACCGTCCCAAACACAGAGCAGTGCAGCCTCCGCGCTATCCTCCCAGGCTGTGAGAGGAGGAGCTGACCCCAGGCTGATGATGCGTGCTGTCTCAGCACATCTCATGGAGGGGCACGAACAGGAGAGCCAGACAGACCTGGGCTTCTCCACTCTCAGGCTGTGTGGCCTCCATCCAGTTCCTTAGCCTCTCTGATCCTCTACCTCCTTGGCTGTGATGCAGTGCAGATGGAGCCCACCTCACAGACTTGTTAAAAGGATTTCATGAGATAACGTGTAGCACAGCCATGGCACTCTGTGTGATCTTGGGTAGGCTACTGTGTTCATGAAGCCACAGTGTCCCCCTCTGTAAGAGGACATGGTTTGTCCATCTGACGACTGAAGCTCTTCAGGCTTGAAGGCTCAGCTCTGTGACCTGGGAATTCATGGCCAAGCCTGGAGTGGACCAAGAAAAGCTCCCCTCGGAGGCTGTGAGGCCAAGCTCCTGGAGCCTGACGATGCCTCACTCCCTCCCTCAACTCCAGATTCACTCCCTAGGGACAAAGGTCTCCAGACCATCTCCCCCGATCCCTCCCCACCTGCAACCAAACCCAGACAACCAGCCCTGCAACTGTCCATCAACACCTTGGCCTGGAATCCCACAGGACGCAGTGTTGATTTATGAAGCACTTCAGTGTCCCCAGCCAGGTACCCTCCACCTCTGCCCTGCACAAGAGCAGCCCCCTTCTTGGAAGATAAGAAGCCACTAATTGTTTCCCTCTCCACTCCGGCATCGATTAGGAGAGTATGCTGCATTGGTGTCTCATTGACAGCCGCTGACTCTTGCCTGGTGTCTAATAGGACGGAACAGAAAGGGGAGCGGCTGGTGGGCTCTGCAACCAGAGACCAGGTAAGCAGGTGGAGGGCTGGCTGGCTGGCTGGCTGGCTGGCGGAGCTGGGGCCACACTTCTGCATTTCCAGGACACAGACTCAGAGACCCACCTGCCCACCTGCCCACCTGCAGCCCAGCCCTGGATGAGTAGAGGCCTGAGGATTCTCACAGGTTCCCAGAGTCAGGCACCCACAACTCCCCGTCGACTCCTACCTGTGCCCCTCTCCAGCTGCTCTGTGTCCCAGAAAGCCCACCTGGGTATGTCGCATCACCCCAGCTCCCTTTCTCTCTACTGTAACTCAGAGTTCACCAGGGGAGACACAACAAGAGGCTTCCTGCCAGACCTCTCCCTGACGCCACCACTCCTCCAGCTCAGCTCTCAACCTGCTGGTCCCTTCCTTTCTGCTGCGTGGGCCACGCCTGGGTGGTAACAGGCCCCACCCCATCACTATGCCCTAGAGGGCTTTGCTATCTTTGTTGCTTTTCCTTAACCTACCAAACTTCTATCAATAACCTTCTCTAACCAAACAATCCAGCCATTCGGTCTTCCATTCAATAAATCTCCTATGGGCGCACTCCAATTCACATTCTAGGCACAGTGATAAGCACTGAAACAGAAAAATAGTGAGACACAGGCAGGTGGAGTCAGACCTGTGTAGAAATGGGACTACAGTGAATGGGAGAAGCTGTGGGAAGGGGCTTCCCAGGGTGAAGTGGGCTTTGTCCAGTTGTCCCTGAGAAGGGGGGAACACGAGGAGGGTGCCTTTTATCCATCCTATCAATATCCCTGGAGATGTGACTTCTCTATTAGGAACTGATTGAGTATGGATCTTTCTGGAAGTTGTGGAATGACATGGGAGACCTCGCCGTACCCTTGGGGGCTTTCTCAAAGCTCTTGACGTCCAATCCCTTAAGCCAGAGGGGTGGCCAACAGCACCTTTACCACTTCACCCAGGGAGCCACTGGCTTGGAGAAGGGGGCAGAGGGCAGGGTCCCAACCAGTACCCCCGTGTTCCCTTCCAGACAGCCACTCTCCAGCTACCAGAGGGGCCGGGAGTTGGCTGGAGAGTCAAAGTCACCAGTTCCTCTAGCAAGGGCAGGATTCATTCAGGAGCCTCTTTTCTGGACTGTGTGACATCCGGGAAGGGGCTTGGTGAAGGGATCGCCACGGCTCAGGAGGGATTTACAGGATTAATCTTAATACTCGCCGGCACCAGTAATTTGGTGATTAAAAAGAAGAAATAATAAAATAACAGACTGGTCCCACACCATGCGACGCAGTTCCCTTCTCCCAAGCACAAACACTGTCTCACACATGCACACTCACACATGCACCACCCACACATGCACACCTACTTGTTCACTCACACATGCACATACCTACACAGACACACCTACTTGTTCACACTCACACATGCACACACCCACACGGGCACACCTACTTGTTCACACTCACACATGCACACACCCACACGGGCACACCTACTTGTTCACACACACACATGCACACACAGGCACACCTATTTGTTCATATGCACACACACATGCACACACCCACACAGACACACCTACTTGTTCACACTCACACACACACTCACACATGCACACACCCACACAGGCACACCTACTTGTTCACACACTCACACATACACTCTCACATGCACACACCCACACGGGCACACCTACTTGTTCACACACACACTCACACATGCACACACCCACACAGGCACACCTACTTGTTCACACACACACTCACACATGCACACACCCACACAGACACACCTACTTGTTCACACACACATTCACACATGCACACACCCACACAGGCATACCTACTTGTTCACACACACATTCACACATGCACACACCCACACAGGCATACCTACTTGTTCACACACACACATGCACACACCCACACAGGCACACCTACTTGTTCACACACTCGTGCACACCCACACGCCAGCCTCCCAGAAAAGCCGCGGTGGCAGCGATGAGCACCAGGACCCCTGACTTCACAGGTGAAGGTGGGATGAAGCTGGGGGGGTTGTTTCTGCAGGGTCCAGAGACAACTGTTTACAACAGATGGACAAAACTAAATTAGGCGATCACAGAGCCTGAGTACAGAGCTGGCGGGGAGGGGCTCCAAGCGTTACTGACGATGAATATCAAGTAAGCTAAAAGCCACCCAAAATGATTTTTAGAATTGAATTTAATTGAATGTTGTCATGTGGATCCTACTTCTGCATATAATCAGATTATAAATCCTACTCCAAAGGCTTCGAAACCTACAGAGAACCGTCGAGTGCACTCACCTCTGGCGGGAAAGGTTGTAGAAAGATCACCCTGGCATCAGCACAGACGAATGAGGACCCGGCTGGGCGCCCAGCACCGTGCTGGACACTGGGATATAAAGATGAGCTGAAGACAGGGCCTCCAGCAAGGAACTAAAGAGGGCTTCCTGCCAAGGTGACAATGGCCATGGCCACATGGGGAGGGGTCTACAGATGGAAAAGGCAGCAGGGCATCCGAATGGCACGGGTGAACGCACAGAGATGGGAGACAGCATGGCTCATCCAAAGGCGGCAAACCATTCCACGGGGCCAAGGCTCAGTGGGCAGCATCTGAGCTAAAGCCATAAGCGAGCTGGGGTCTAGATCAGGGAAGCTTTTGAATGCCAGGATAGAAGGTGATGTTACTATCCAAAAACAAGTGTCGAGCCACTAGGCGGTTAAGCAAGAGTGTGAGGTGGCCACCACATGTTCTAGAAAGATCCATGAAGAGAACAAAGCTTGCAGCTCTGCAGGCTGCAGGGTCCTGGAGGTAGTTTGGGTAAAGAGGCCAGACAGACGCCCCTCTTCTAGCGGGGTGAGGCAAATGGGATAAACCACATAAGGTTGCAACTTCACAGGTCCCAGCCAGAGACCACTCCCCTCCATTTGATCAGTGGCGCGGAGCAGGCAGGGCTGATGGACCCTCAGACCCAGATCTGGGGAGGTGCCTGGTTTCCCGTCTGGAAGGAGCACTGGACTCAGAGGTGGCAACCAGGACTCTCAATCTCCAAATCAGGCTTGCTTGGGAGGTTCCCAATCACCAAAGGCTATGAGGTTAGGAGACACTGCACAGGCCGTGTTCTTCCACTTACACACTGAAAAGGTATCAAGAACAAAGACAGGGTTTCTGGCAGTGGTCAGCAAATCCTTTTCACAAAATCGCTTTTAAAACTGTACAAAATAGGAAAGGAAGGGAGGGAGGGAGGGAAGAAGAAAACAGAGAAAGCAAGCTCAGGGCTCTGGGAATCAACCAGAGGGAAAACAATGAATCAAGAACCATTTCTTAATGAGAAATTGAACTTGTAATAAGAAAAGTGAGAGGGGCCAGTGCTGTGGCGCAGTGGGTTAATGCCCTGGCCTGCAGTGCAGGCATCCCATATGGGTGCCAGTTCAAGGCCCAGCTGCTCCACTTCCAATCCAGCTCTCTGTGTGGCCTGGGAAAGCAGTGGAAGATGGTCCAAGTCCTTGGGCCTCTGCACCCACATGGGAGACGTGGAAGAAGCTCCTGGCTCCTGGCTTCGGATCAGTGCAGCTCCAGCCGTTGCAGCCAACTGGGGAGTGAACCATCGGATGGAAAACCTCTCTCTCTCTCTCTCTCTCTCTCTCTCCCCCTCTCCTCTCTCTGTGTAACTCTTTCAAATAAATAAATAAATCTTTAAAAAAAAAAAGAGTGAGAGTCTGCAAAATTCTGGGCTGAGGCTGCTCCCATCCCTGCACTCACCTGTGGTTCTGAGTGAGGCCAACTATAAAATCAGATCTTCACTGCGGGAGGGCTGATTTGACTTGGAGCAGAAGACCTGGAGTCTGTGTCCAATGGTTGACAGTGGGGAAGCAGATGTGCAGGGCCTACAGCTTGGCAGGACGGAGGTGACAGTCTCAACTGGAGCAAACAGCAGAGGAACAAATCAGCCTCTGGAGATCAGAGAGGCACCAGGGGCTGCCGAAGCATCCTGGGAGGCTGCACAAATGCAGGGGAGACCCTGTGGCCTGGTGGGAAGCAAAGGCAGGAAAGGCTCGAAAGCTGCCTGCACTTGGGACGTGCACCCCCTTGGTACACACACAGAGGATGGGGGCCTTCCCACTTGAGGCGTTTGCACACACCTCTGACTCATTACTGGCTGACCACCAAGCCACATGGACATAAAGACAAACTTAGGAGGCCAGGATGAAAAACGAAAATAATTTTTAGAAGACTGAGCAGAGACATCAGTAGCTATGCACCGCTAGGGAGACATATTCCCCAGATTAAGTCCAAATATGTTACTAAAAAAAGAGAAAAAAGAAAAAAACCAGCAACACCTCCCAAGGGGGAAATATCAGATTCCAGAATTTGTACAACATACTATCTAACTTGTCCAGTTCCTAACACAAAATTACAACATGCAAAGAAACAAGAAATTGACCCATACTTAGACAAACGCAGTCAATAGAACCTCTCCAAGGAGACATAGATATTGATGAAGGAGACAAAGACTTCAAGAGCAACCATTATAAATGTGCTTAATGAATTAATAAATGTTATTAAAAATATAACTGCATTTAATGAATAAACCATGTTCCAAAACTTAAAGAAATATATAATGACAACCACTTAATTAAATAGGGAATCTCAATAAAGAAACAGAAACTGTGAAAAACCACAAAATGGAAATTTTAGAGTTTGAAAATATAAGCTTCACTAGATAGGATCAAAAGCAGATATGAGATGTCAAAAGAGACTATCAGTGAACTTGAATTGAATATGCGCCCATAAAACAACCCCGGCAAGAAAAATTATCGAAAGAAAATGAACAGAGCTTCAGAGACCTGTGGGGTGACAGCAACTGGAGCCCAACATACCTTCAACGGAAGACCCAGGAGGAGAGGAAGGACAGAAAGGGCACAGAATTAACTGAAGAGCAGGACTGCCTCCAACTTCGAAGTTCCTTCATTGCTCCACTCTGGACGTCAGGGAGTCGGGTGGAGGAAGGCCAGAGGCTGCCAGGGGTGTGGTCAGAGCTGCCCCTGCAGGAGGACCCACACCCACGGTGGCGAGGCACCACGCTGCTACTTAAGTCTGCCCATTGGCCTCACCACAGTCTGTGAGCCCGGCCAATAGCCACGGTTCTCGAGATGCGGAAAAGGCTCCAAGGGGCACTGCAACCGCCCAGGTGACAAACCCAGCAAGTGCTGAGTTGGGACTGGAACCCGCGTTCCCTCTTCCTCACGCTTCTCCTCCACACTCTGAGGCTTCCAGCTCACACTCGCCTGCTCCGGTGGACTTCATGCTGGGGTCTCCTGAGGTCCTGGATTGCAGGACCAGAGAACAGTGCGGCAGGACGGAGCCTGGGGTTCAGGAAGGAACGGAGAGGAAATGGGGTGAATGCCGAGGTGGCTAGGAGCCTCCAGCACCCCCTTCTTGTTCCGCAGAGATGTGAGGCCTCTTTCCGGGATGCCTGTCCCACTCTGCATGCCCTCCCTCCACCCCTCCACAGGGGCTCTCCGGGTAGGGACTGGGGTTAGAGAGGCTGATTCTAGGTGACCTTGGGGTTCCCAGGAGCATTAGCTGAGCCAGCCCTTCACGCAGGGTCCAGGCCTGGTGACCTCTTCCTTTGCCTGGCTGAAAGTCAGGCTGGGCCCTGCCTTGAGAGTCACCCCCAAACCCTGCACTCTCAGCTCCACTCCCATGCCTTCCAGATAAGGAATCGAGGCCCAGGTGGGTTAAGGAATTAACCAGAGTTCACACAGCTGGTGGCCTGCATCTGTACCCTGACGTGGCCCACTCGAAAGCCTGTGCTCTGCTCTCTCCCTCTCTGGGGCATCTGCTCACAGGGATGCCCCAAATGCCTCCCCCGAGGGGGCTGGGGGCAGGTCTTCTCCCAGAGCAACTCCTGAGTCCCTGCCTGGATCCCCCCACCCCCACCTCTGGTGCCCTAGGCCTCCTCCCCTACACCGTATCCCACAGAGCAGATTGGGGTCAAAGTCAAAGGAAGGAGATGACCTGCTTTTGGAGGTAGGAAGATTCAGTTTCCAAATATTCACCGGTCAGGGAGGCCCCACCCCCAGTACCCCCCACCCCCAGCAGATGCTCACCCCATTCCCAGGTATCCCCTGAGAACAAGAGCTCAGAGGCACACACACCCCCCATCACTGTGAGAGTCCAAACCTTGCATCTCTCTCATCTTGATATTCCCAGGCCAAGCCCACGGGAGGCACTCAGTAAGGCAAAACTGAGCCGCTGGTACTGGCCTCCTTCCCCATCTCTGTGTGTGGAGTTAGAAGACCTGGCTACTCAGCCTTTCTGAGCCCCAGCTTCCTCTCTTCAACATGGGGCAGGAGGGCTGTAAGGAGGGCAGGGCCCCGGAGGAGAGGAGCTCAGCGCTGGGCATCCGGGAGGGACATAAGGGCTGGCGGAAGGTGTGAGCAGCCCCACCCAGACTCGAGAGGACAAGAACCAAGGACAGGGTCCTACTGGGTCTGCTGCAGGTGCCGCTGGGAGAGTAGCAGTGAGTCTTCAGGCCCAGCCTGTCGCCAGCATGCTCCAAATTAAATAACTGCAACTCCCCTTTTATTTCCTCGCTGACAGCAACTTATTGCGAAGGCAGCTGCTTCTGACATTCTAATATTCAGAGTCACATCCTGTGGGATAAACACATCGTTGTTGTCTGAGCCAATGATTTGTTCCAGGATAGGAAGGACCCGGGAGGGGCAGGGAAAAGCTGCGCTTGGTGCGGCTGGCACAACCGGAGAGGAAGAAAAATGGCCGGGGGCCGTCCTGGGGCCCCTGCGGCGGGCCTCTGCCTCCAGCGTAGTTTGGGCTGCCTGACCGAGCCTCCTCTAGCTACCTGCTCTCACCATATGCCAACCTGTGCCAGGCACTGTGAGGCATACAGAGATGCCAAGGCATGGACCCCATGTCTGGGAGGCTCACGTCTCATGCTCCAGTGTGGGCAGGCAGCGGACTCTCACCCATGCACACCGGGTGGCACAGTGGTTAGAGCTAGGTGTCCAAGATGGTAAAACCGGACTCAAATTGTTCCTCTGACGCTGACACCAGGGGAATCTGGGGAAACTTTCCAAACATCAGTCCTGCACCCTTAACATGAGAACGACAGTGTGGTCCACCTCCTAATGTCATCCAGAAGATGAAATGGAAGAATGCAGAGAAAGCACTAGTTGCCTGGAGTACGCGCTCCTGTGGTCTCCAGTGGGCTGCACCAGGAGGGTGAAAGGCTGGGAGAGAGGGGCACCAGCCGGGGGCCGTGGTGATGCCAGGGAGCACTCGCTCCTGAGTGACAGTCCTGGGTTGGTTAAGGGCTACACAACATCTACACATCCCTTCCCGGGCCCCAGACCCAGGTGGGACCTTCCCGGGGTTCAGTGTGTACTGGGATGCACCAGGTAGCCAAACACATGCAGAGAGAAGCCAGCCGGCGAGCTGACACATTCACAGTGTGGATCACCTCCAGGGAACAGAAACAAACGCCTGGATGAAGTCAGCCATGCAAATTTGGGGGTGCTCTTAAACTGGGGTGTAATCCAGAAGGTTCCCCAGGCAGGGAGACCCTAGCAAGGACCCACGTGGCAATGTAGGGAGTAGGGGATGCCTGCTGCTGCAGGTTTCTCTCTGGCCTTGAGGTGGGGTGGCAGGAGGGTGTTGCCTCCATCGAAAGGCCCAGTACTATGGTTCGAGTGATTGTCTCCTCCAAAACTCATGTTGATGTGTAGTTGCCATTGGAATGGTATGAAGAGGTGGCATTTCTTTTTGTTTTTATTTGAAAGGCAAATAAAGACACACAGAGAGAAAGACAGGGACACAGAGAGAAACCTTCCATCCACTGTTTCACTCCCCCAAATGCCTGCAACAGCTGGGGCTGGGCCAGGCCAAATGCAGGAGCCCAGAGCTCAGTCTGAGTCTCCCACGTCAGGGGCAGGGTCTCAAACACTTGAACCATCATCTGCTGTCACCCAGGGTGCACAGCAGCAGGAAGCTGGACCTGAAGCAGAGCTGGGACTCAAAGCCAGGCCCTCTGAGAAGAGACACAGGTGTCCCGAGGGGGACTTAATCACTGTGCTACATGCCAGCCCCAGGAGGTGGGACTTGTAGAAGGTCGGGAGGGCACCAGGGCTCCACCCTCATGAGTGGACTAATTCCTGATAACTAACTAATGCCAACAGAAGGAGTGGATTCATTATTGTGCCAGTGAGCTCGCCCCCTCTTGCTCTCTCTCTCTCTCTCTCTCTCTCTCCTTGTGCTCTGCCATGTGTGACCCAGCAAGAAGGCCCTGGTCAGACACAGCACCCTGACATTGGACTTCCCAGCCCCCAGACATCTCTGTTCATTGTAACTCACCCAATCTGTGGGCCTCCGTTACAGCGGCACCAAATGCACTGACACCACACAGAAAACCTCAGGGGTGGGATGAAGCGGCGGCAGGCGCAGAGGAGCTGCGAAGCCAGCGCCCCTGGGGCTCCTGGGATTCTGTGAGCAAAGCATTGATTTGGGTTAGGGCTTCCCAATTAGCCTTGAGAGAGAAAAATGTCTCCACAGGCCTGAAAGGAAGAACACAAAAGAGGAAGAGAGAAGCGACAAGAATACCCTGCAGAGTTGCTGACGCCCGCTCCGGCCTTTAGAATACGGGGAGTATGGTAATCTAATAAACACGGCAACAAAGCGTTCGTCGCCAGGCTAATTTTATTAGGACAGATCTCAAATGGCTAATTTCCTTTTACTAATGAGCAAATTAGTTGAATCTCTGATCTGCTTTTAAGGCACTTATACTAATAAAACATGAACGACAGTGCAAGTTGTGAGATGTGCGTTTGGGTTGGACGGAATCTACAGGCGTGGAGGGTTGGTTGTTCCAACGTGACTTTGCCCAGAGGGGCCTCAGAGCTGGGCCGAACAGCGAGCAGCCGTGGCCAGCCTTTGCAGCAGGACTTGGCAACAGAACAGGGTGACACATGAAGGTCAGATGACCTCAAACTTTCACCAGGTTCCCTTAAGAGGGCGGTGCACCTCCGGCCATAGCCCTCTCCCACCTGCAGCCCTTGTGCAGTGTGTGTAAGGTGCATCCCAAGACCTTCCCAGCCCTCTCGGGACCCAGGCTGGCTCGCACCAAAGCAGAGGTCCTTCCTGCCAAACCAGCCTGCTCAGGGGCATAGATGGGGCTCCTGTCTCCAGCTCCTCAAGGCAGCTTTTCAGGTGTCTGGGGAAGGAGGCGGCACAGCACCCAGTTTTGTCCTTGCAAAGGGGCTTTCATTGAGGTCAGTATTTATTGCAAGCAGTCAGGGCAGGCCTGGGAGAGCTCAGCTCAGGGTGGCCAGGTGGCAGGCCCCCAGGGGAGAGGTGTGCCTCAGGGTCTAGGCCAATCAGAGCCCAGGGAAGGGGGTCCTGCTTGCTTTGGTGGCAGAGAAAGAAAGCCTGGGACAGCACCCACAGCAGAGAAAAGGGTTGTGAGGTGGTTGGGGGCAACCTGGCAAACACAGAACCCCCCACCCTGCTTCTACCAGGCTCTGCAAACAAGGGGAAAAAGGAATCTCTGGGAAGGGGGTCAGGACCAGACAGGCTCCCCAGCCCAAAACATGTTCAGCCACCAACAAAGGCACGCATGAGAGTGGGGGACTCACCCAAGAAGGCGCCCAACCATGAGCCTGACAGAAAGGCCCTCCAAATGTTCAACAGGTGAAAGAGAAGCCCCACCCACCCACCCAAGTCCCAGCTTGGCTTGAAGAGGGACCAGGGTTCAGACATCAGCTCAGCCACATAAATGTGAATCCAGCTTACCCGCTTGCTGGTGATATGCTTTGGGTCAAGGCATGCAGCCTCACCACGCTGCAGTTTATTTCTCATCCGAAGGGGAACGTGTGGACTGACAGAGCCATCCCGTGGACTCCAAGAGGAAGGACCCCAACCAACCGTGAGCTCTCGACAGAGCTCTGCCCCCTTCGCTCTGCAGGGTGAGCTTCAGCGGCTGCTGCCCCTTGTGGCCATGCAGAAAGTACACGGACGACAGAGAGAGCAAGAGAGGTGGTCTCACAGGGCGCGCCCTCGGAAGCCCCATCACTGAATTGCTTACTAAAAAGGGAAAGGGCAGCTTCAAGTAAAGGGAGCAGCTCATCACCAGGAGCAAGCAAGTGCCTGGCAGGGAGGCCCCGAGGAGCCTCCGCGCCCTCTGCCACGCAAGCCGCCCTCGTCCAGCACCTGCCGGAAGTCACACATGCACACCGCTGCCTCCTGGCTGAACTTGCCCTTCCCAAAATGCCCCTGAATGAGTGTCCTGTCCTGCAGCCCTCCTGCTTGGAAGGGCTTCAGCTCCACAAACTCAGCGAAGTCGCTCTGCTGGGTGGGGGGCACAATGGGAAGAGCAGCAGGAGGCTGGCCCAGCGACAGGCCCAGGGTGTGTAACACCGCTCCCAGACGAGCTTTCCCGGCCACTTTCCTCTGTGCAGGTCATCGCTCCGGCCTGCCGTGGGAGCCACAGCCACAGGCCTCATCAGGGCTCCCAGGTCTCTCCACGTGCCAGGTCTGCAGCCCCCACCCCCAACCTGTCCATTCCTCTTCCCCCTGCCCTCACAGTCCCCAGGGCCACCTCTCTGAAGTGCTCTGGCCTCATTCATTATTCAGCCATTTCCTCCGTTCCGAGGCCCAGGGGCCAGAGGGTTGGCAGCTTGTGCTCTCTTTCATCTCCCAGGTTGCGCGAGGAATGCAGAAACGCTGGGCGGGCGGCCAGGATGTGGACAGCAGGCTCTCGGGCCTGCCTCTGTGACAGCCCCCATGCTCTGTGCTCCCAAGGCTGCTCCCCCAACCCAACACCCCCAGAATTACCCCGCAGCCGGAGTACGTGCCTCCTGGGCCCTGACCTCCACTCCAGCAGCCGCGACCCACCGACGCCCATCCCTGCTCTCGCGCAGCGGAGCTAGTCTTGGACCCCAGCGTGTCTGAGTCCAGGCACTGGCTCTTTACAAGCAGCAAGAGGTGAGACCTGACTACTCTGTAAATAGCACACGAGTCACCCGAGATCGGGCTTTGGGCTGAAGGCAGCTGAGCAGCCTTCGCAAACTCCTGGGCAGAGCGAGAGAGACTCCTCCTGCAGTGATGCCGAGATCTGGGCCAACTCCAGAGTCTATCCAGGGGCCCACTCAGTGCTGGTGCCTGGCCTGGCTTCAGAGGGGACTGGGGAGGCAGAGGCTTTCCATGCTGCGGCACCACGTGTCCTGGGATGACCCCTCCCCCTAGTCCCTACCCCAGGCTGCAAGTTTCCCTCCCAGGATGTGCCAAACTGCAACTTGGCCTTCACACAGGGCTTGGGCAAGGAGAGGGTCAAAGAGCCTGGTCTTGGATGCAGCTCCCCACAGCTTGGCCTCCCACAGGATCAAAACTGCAATCTTCGAGACACAGCTACAGCAGTCTGGAGTTAGGCTTCTGGACAGTGGCAGGAGGCAGAGCTGGCCCACCCTGGCCACTGGCAGGTGGAGAATAAACCTGCATGGGCGTCTCTGTGCCCCTGAAGCAGGCGGGCAGTGGGAAGATGAGCACCTAGCAGGCACGGTTCCCATCACCCCTCTGCCAATGCGCCAGGCACTACAGCATCAGACGAAGGCTGTGGCAGTAAAATGAGTCTTGGCCTCCCCTCCACAAGGCCCCATTTCAGAATCAACCAAAGGGGACAATAAAGGAGCCGCCTCCTGGTAAGGCCACCAACAACAGAGTG